ACAAATGCACAACATGAGAACATGCACGATGCGCCGTATTGACTGCGAGAGAAAATGACACTGGCGTTTTGGGGTGGAGTGGTGGCGCGGTGGTTCACACACTGCCTTCCGAACCCAGGCACCTGAGTTTGATTGCGATTGACATTTGAACCCGGCACCCGTGCTTCTCTTTCACCAACCTGCACCGACCAGCGCGGTGTAGAATAATTGGACAATACAGCCCCCCACAACGACGACGATGATGCGCGGTGGGGGGCGGGGTGCATGCATCCAGCTGCGGATTAACAAAGAGCCGTCCGTGTTTCCATCGTGGCAATGATGAGCGTGACGAGGCAAGGAGAATGCTGCACGCATGCACTGAGCAGGGCCGGGGGTCGCGGGGTTTAAGTCCACCGGCACTGCGGTTGGCACGCAGATTGCGTATCAAGACAATATTGTGTCATCGGATTCCACAAACCCTTCCTGGTACACGGAAATAATACATCTGGAGCATGTGTCGCCCCCCCATCTCCCGCCATACGCCATGCACACACACACACGTGTTGTTACTCACGCACGCTCCCTGCTAACCGTGATATGGAGTGGACTGCATTGAAAAAAAAAACATTGCTGCGGAAAATGCTGCTATATTTCATAACAAACGGTTGAGTGGTAAGTTACATTTACCTAGGGATATATATTTGAGCCCGCCTACTACATTCTTGTGAGTGCATGAGACCGCGGCTTAGAAGTGTACAAAGTCAACACCGCAGTCACACGCTGCAAAAATACATCTTCTTTCTGCTTCTCTCTTGGCGACTGATCGCATCCGAAGTCTCGGGGAGTTGCGGGCTGCGGTTGAGCGACCTTGACTCGGGCGTCGTTCGCTCTTCCTCGATTCGGAGCGAGCGACCTTTCGTCTCGCCGCTCTTTTGTTGGTATGCGAAAACCAGGAGGGCGCGGACGGAGAACGCCGCAGTGAGAGACGCGCGTCTAAAAGTCGTCTTTGCTCTTTACCACAAAAAAATTACATATAAGTAAAAATATAAGTATGTATTTTAGCACTGCACAAAAAATAACAAATGTTCACTTGCGGAGCGGAAGTCGCTCGGATTAAATGTTATGAAATTACTGTACTGTACTCCCCATGCGCCCCACGGACACGCGCGCGTCCAGGACTCGCACCGCGCGTATTGCCAATATCCTCGGCGCCGACTGCTTTGGCGGTCTTTGTCAAAAACCGGACGGCGGTGACTGCCAGACGCTCCCTTTGATGTTCCACAGCGGAGATTGTCATCGGCTGCGTCCCGACGACTGCGGCAGGAGCAGTGGCAGCGTGCCCACAGCCACGCACCGAGTTATGTAATGTCACGCCGGCACGATCCACGGCGTGCAATTTCCGACCTGGCTTCACATTTGTATTCTCATATTGTGCAACGCTGTTTCGTGGCTTCGCAAGCTGTTGGCTTACGGCGCACGCATATTTGTGGTATAAGAGTGTTGACGTTCATCGAAGAAGGCAACGCTCTTGCTCGCTCACGCCACTGATGGCGTATGTTGAACTTGTTTTGCACCGTATGCAATCGACCCAACTGTGGTTGAACCGGCGACAGTGCAGCGTGGACAGAGACGGGAGCAGGGGGGGGGGGTGGGGGGATTTAAGAAACTGGCACCGCTCTTGCCACTGGCGACCTCTGCACTGCAAGTCCAGCGCGCCGCTGACCATCACACCGTAGCGGCCTCCTTGGTGACACAGTCGTTGAGACGTTGCGTGCTGTTTAAAGCGTGTGCACAGTCACTTACTGCAACGCCATCACACCCCCACAGCCATCAGCAGCTACACGTGGACAACATTCCAAGTCAAACAGTTACTTGGTGTGATATTACATACAATCACAATTCTAGGAAAATGTACAAAAATGCCATTTGACAGTTCCACGGAAATATTTTTGTATTCCTGCTGAGCTAAGCAAAAGCAGTGTAATTTTGTGAAGGTTACTGCTGAGTGGATATATATTCTACTAATTACTTATAATTAAATATTTCAAGAACGCATGTTATGATATTATTTAGTTTCTCTGTCTTGGTTCGTGATATTATGGATAGATCAGCCAAAGTTCGAAACGAACTATTTAAATGTATTATTTTAATTGTGTGTATTTGTATTCCTTGGACATACACTGCATATTTGTGTTAACATATAAATGTTATATAACTCTCTCTATGAGTCAAATCCTTTCAGCAATTCTGGAATTCCTTTCATTTAGCTCTGTCCATGATATTTACTCAATAACCCTGCTTTAGATACTGCTACCAGTTGCATCCAATTATTTAAATTGCTTATCATAGTTCGCTGTCTTCCCCAGCATCTTGGACCTTTAATTGTCCCGGTGAAATCACATTTATATTCAGTCTGATGTTTTCTCATTACATGTCCAAGCAATCTAACGTTCCTATCTCTAATTAGTCTTATCACTATTATTTTTGTCCTTGTTATCTGTAATACATTTATGTTACTCATCTTGTCTGTCCATGAAATAAAATGTGTTTCATATATTTCTGTGTCAGTTTATGTTCAGAAGCGCGTCTCGGGGACCCCATGAAATGCCGTGCACGAGCCCTTCACGCGTGTCATCAAGCGCGCACCCTTGCCGCGTACGCTCGCCTCGTACTCTACCACAGCAGGGACAACAAAAGCTCGTGAACAACAAGGAAAAAAATACAAAATCGGCGACGGTTCGGTCAATGGCCCTTCTTCACAGCATATTGACGGAGGTTTGTTCTTTGTGCTGGTGCGCCACTCTCAACGCAGCGTCACAAATGTTTTGCTTTATTCTAAAAAACCTTAGCTTAGCTCCACAGAAAGCTACCACGGTGCCCGGGATGACATCTGTAAAAGGGAACCCATCAAATCCCTCCCCCGTTTTCTCACCGCTCGGTCTCCCATTAACACCATCCCGTAGCCACGGTGGCCGGGTGTCGCGGAGGTCAGAGTGCTGAGAGCTTGCACCGCTGAAATCATGAGTTCAAGTCGAGGTAACCGCCTGCTGTGATTAAACCGGGTTCTCTCAAGTGCACTGAGTTGATGTTGTCAGCCCGGTCACCAATAACCGCACAACAAAAATCCATCACACTACATTTGGTTTTGCACTCGATTTGTCTTTTTCCCAGCTCAGCATTATATGTAAATATGTAATAGACTGTCTTGCGACGGACATTACTCTGGGAATATACTGCCCACCACTGCGTGGAACAGAAATCACGTAACAGCGGTTTCTGAAGTAGCTCTGTGATAGCCACTTCCATTGGCCATTCTCTTGTGCGAAGGGTCACACTGCTCTGCGAGATATCCGAACGGATTCTCGCCTCATGACGCGATGCCGAAAGCGCAATCGGGAGAACATTGCGGGGGGGGGAGATTTGTTTTCTTAATTGGCTCCGACAGAACCCTGGTAGTGATGTTAACGTCTCAGTGGTATCGTCACCAGGGCCCTGCATCGCGTGTTGCAGCAGGACTGGAATTCCTGCGACGATCTCACGAGGAAAGCAGCTGCCAAGGGGTAGAACAACTACAAAGGAAAGCTTCAAATCAAGATACAAAGGGACTGTGGAGGCTGTGGGGGCCCTGTCCGTTGCTGTTTCTGCTGCCGTAGGAGGGGGGGGGGGGATGGACAAGGAGCAGAGAGGGAGGAGAGACGCAGCCTTGCTCACAGCAAATCGGCTGCCTGCTTGCAGTTGCCATCCTCTCTCTCTCACACGCGCGCGCGCGCGTCCATGGCCTGCACCAGCCACTCAGAACGCGGGCGGCACAGCCAGCCTTGACGTAATGGCCTTAATGTGTGCATTGAAGCCTGGCCAGTGGAATATTTACCCAATGAAAAGCCGCATCCTGAGATACAGTATCCACGCTGGCGACGCTGCAGCAAGCTAACACTGGCTGGTCTCCGCATCCTGGAATCCCAGGGTCTATGTTTGTGTCAATTGCCTTCCTAAAATATGTGCGTATCCGGAATAGAATAGGTGAGCTGCAGATAAACGCCCTTTTCTCAGTATGTACGTATTTAGCATACAAAAACACGCGTACACAATTTCTCGCTGACTGACATGGTGAAGTATGGTCAAGAATCCCCCCCCGACCAGCACGGCATTGGAGGCTCCTTGTCCAGCAGGGGATTGACAAAGGGGCTGAACGTGCACGCATTTACGATGGATTTTTTTAGCATGGCAGCGCCATGTGGAACCTTTTGTCATCAAAGGATGCATTCATAGTGACACATCAATATGATAAGAGCGAGCCAGTTTTGCACAAGCCAAATACACTCGTTTAAAAATTGTATCAAAGTTGCACGGATGGCTTCTCGGTATGTCTTGACGAGAACGTCAGCGGCGAGGCCACTGCAGCAGTCGACTGCGAAGCAGTTGAACACCATGGAGTCGTGACGTGGCCGTTCCCACTGCGGAGCAGAGAGGCAGACCGGCGCGTGGCGCTCGAGTGTGAAGCTGCCGCTGCCGCTACCTCGGAGCGCCGGGCAGCGGACAGGAATGCGCCGCAGCTATTGACGGCAGCAGAAATCCGCGGAAGCTCACGCGGATACAACCTCCCCCCCCCCCCAAAATAAATAAAGTAGTAAGCATGGAATTGCAAAACATAACGTACGCACCGATTTTTTTTATTTTCGCATCCGTTTATTTAATTATTTAATGTAGACTTTAAAAAACATATATGTTCTAATTCTTTGCTAAATCTGTTACAGTACTCCTAAACACTCCCAGAACCTTGCTCCTCACCCACGTGCCCCCATCCCTATTGCACGCTCCCCATGCACCACTGCAGTGCGCCCGAGTCTGGTGCAGCCCAACTTGACCAGTCCACGACCTTCCCGGCTTTCCAGGAAACCGCACGATCGTGAAGGTCCCCAGCGGAAGCCGCCCCTCAAGGCCCCCCCGCCCCCACCTCCTGGGCCGCGCGCCGCTGGCATCATCTGGTTGGCCGCTTAGTTGGTCCCCACGGGGGGGGGGGGGGGGGCAGAGTTCAACAGGCGACGTGTAAAGTTAGCGCGGACCTGGAGCCTCGGTCGGGCGACGGGGTCACGTGGGCAGAAGGCCCCGTGCCGAGAGGGGACAACGGGACCCCGAGCGTCAGCATCGCGTGCGTGCACGCCCCTACAAGGGCAGCCGTGAGGCGATAGCGCGCCCACGGCACGGCCCGGGTTGCGCAACGCTTCCACTTTATCGCCGCACCGCCCCCCTCCCCGAGGCCAAGTTTAGATTTCGTGCGTAAGTGGCTGCTGTTCAATTCCTCCGCGCGCGCACCGCGCGTCAACAACAGAGCCACAGAGTTGTGGTGGTGGTGGCGGTGATGCTGGTGGTGATGGTGGTGGTGATGATCCTCATTTACCTATCTCCTTTGCATGCCTCGCTGGGCCTTACCTGGAAAATAAAAAAATGCTGTATAGTGTTATGTTAATCACGTAAGCTTTCGCGATCAATATCATCCATAAGAAGGTGTTTTTGGGTGAGATCGCGTAAAAATGTAAATGTGTCGTTTAACCGGCCACCACCCGACACAGCCAATTAGTAAAGTTTGTCACGTAAACAGAACTTGCCAATTCGTTACTAGTACAGCACACCGGTGTGCTGTAGGATAAACCCACAACATTTACAATTGTAAATAACATATTGGCATGTTTGGTTTACGTGACGAACCTTACTAATTATTTGCGTCGGGTGGTGGCGGATTTACCGACGCATTTATAATTACGCGATCTAACACCCCAAAAAAACAACTCTATTATGGATTATAGTTTTTTTGTTTAGGCATCAATTGTCCGAGAAGCCAAACAGGAGGATGATCTGCATTTTATTTGTAAATCGAAAAGGTGCATTCTCACGGAAATCATCCGTAAAAAGTAATGGTAACCTGCACTGACGAGACATTCATGCTGGGTTGGCTGTGTGTAACGCGTACACGTGTGTGTATGTGTGTGCGCGTGTCATTATTTGTAATCGCAATGTGGAAAATGTTTTATTTTCAGAAATGTAAATAAGGAAAAGTCCCCATCTCGCAAGCGGCCGTCAAGTTGTATTAAACTTCGTGCTGTGTTCAGTTCATCAACACTAACCGGGTTACTGTGTTGCTGCGTAGACGCCTTGCTCATCTGTCGTAGCCGGGTAACCTTCAAAGGGAATGGTCACCCAGGCGCGAGCAGGGCTGCGGCAGTGTGCGGTGGGGCTCAGCGCGTCCTGCGTGCCCGGAGAGGCAGGGGCCTGCACAGCGCCACTCGGGGCGCGAGGAGGAAGCGAGAGAGAGAGAGAAGGAAGAGGGGGCATTTCAGTTGAAAACACCCAGTCATTTCGAAACATTGCGGATCAAAAGGCAAACTGAGGTCAAGCAGGTAATGTTTACATGGCCTAGGTTAGCTCCGCCTCGTGGCGCCGGCACGGAGTCACCTGAGGTGCCCCTGACGCCGCACGTGTGCGCCGCGGCCCGGCTCATGGCAGAGATGAGAAACGAGGCCACGTGACCGACTTTACAAGGTGCAAGCAGCGTGGGGTTTCTTTTACTTCCCCCCCCCCTTGCCGAGGTTGAGTGGCCTGGCCCTAGAACTGCAGTTGTAGAACACTAGAGAACACGTAGAGGTTTTTTTAATTCACTTTTTGTATTATTATTTTCTATCTACGTGGATTTACCGAAAGAACCAAACAATATGAACACGTAGAGGGTTCAGACGGGGTGATGAGCGGTGGCGATGCTGTTGGCGGTGGTCGTGCGTGTGACGCTATTGTCTATGGAGGGATCGTGATGTACACCGGGCCACGTGGCTCAGTGGTCGAGCGAGCTGCTTCACAATGGAAACGTTTGCGAGTTCAAGTCCTAGTTTGGTGGGTTAACTCTGCACACCATCCCTCCAGGGGTGGGGTGGGGGGTGTCAATAAAAATGATTGATAATCAGTCCTATGGATGGACCCACGCCCGGCCACAGGAATGTGACACTTCCACCACCGGCGCAGGACTGTAAACGAGGGATGAGCCACGGCCTCGCTGCTAAATTGAGCAGAAATAACTCTGCCTGTGCCTCTTCGATGCACCCGCCCCATCCGTCCAGTCGCATTCGCGATAAGACGTCCAATTAGGGAATCTTAATTCCTGCTGAAATCTAATTTCACACAAATCATATGCTAAATTAAATAAACGCGCTTAAGCCGGCATTTTAATTACAGCAAGAATGAATTATATGATGATACGCGATGTAATTTTAGCCGCGCGCGCGGGTATATTGCTGCTGCAACTGATTACATTTCCATGCGTGAATATTCAAACGATTTAACCGGCTGCACGTGGCGATGAAGCACGTGGAGGCCGAGCCGGGATGTGCGCGCGAGCAAAGAGACTCTTCAATGCGATCGTCATGGTCATCAGAGTTGACTCGAACCGAGGCTGCCTGGGACAATTCGCTGCACGAGTCTTGAGACGACTTGACACGGGGCCGTACTTTAAAGGACACATCGCACGTGATGCGATACGAGGCTGTTAAACGCCACAGTGTGCGTTTATGCGTAAAGGTTCGTGGTAGAAACGGTAAAGGTGCAGCCCTGCCGTTACCATCTAAACGCCACTGCTGGTCGAAGGGCCTCCACGAGAGCGAGCTCTTTAGAACCCCTCTGCAGAGCCGCATCTTCCACGCTGCTGGCCAAATGTCTTGGGAGTACCCACGCTTTGCCCCACCACATGCAACCTTCCAATCGATTATAGCGGGGGGGGGGGGGGGAGATCGAACCAGCGACCTCTGGATGGCAAACCCAGTGTGCTGCCCATCACCACTCGCGCGGCGGCGCCCCCGTGACGTATTGACGGGCCGTCACGCGCCTCGCAGGATCCTCGATTTCAAGTAGAATTGCGATTTGCGAGTTTGGCGACTCGCTCGATACCGCAGAAGCAGCAGTCTCTGCGGTGGCGCAGCTCTCGCTGCGGGATCGAGCGGCTCTCCGCCACGCGCCGCAGCCACTTTGCCGCACACGGAACTCTGGGGGGGGGGGGGGGGCCTACCACGTCCATAAATCGTCGCTTATTGCAGTCACGAAGGCGAAGAGGGCCTCTTTTTTACGCGGCGATGGGCGAATAACGTGAAGTTGAGCTTCTTCTCAAGCTGCGTGAGTGGAATGCAGAGGCATGCCGCCTCTTGCCTGATGTAAATGAGCCAGTGAGCCGTGCGCTTTCACAGCGTTCACGTGACGTAACAGCTAATTCATTACACAGCATGCGCCATTGATTGCTGATTGCAGACTTTATCTCACAGCGGTGTGGAACAATCAATAATGCTCAGGCCAGGGCTTTCATACCAGGTTTTATATTTCCCTGGTGAATAAAATGTTAAATTAAATCATTCAGGCCGAGAGAGCCCCTGTGAAATTATTAAAACTAGTGCGCACAACTTCCGTTCACATTGAACGTGTTTTCTGCAAAACAGTCAATGCCGTTTTAACATTTTGGCTCTGGAAGACCTGTTGAACAAAGTGTAAACTGGGTCCTTTGAACTCTCACATCCATTAACTAAGGAACATGTTGCATGTGTGAGCCTGAGTACGCACCGATGCATGTTTAGCGGTGTGTTGAGTAATTTCCACCAAATCTTGGCTTAAAACTTTCGTGACTGCAGGAATTCATATTCTTTGGTCGGTAAAGTCACGTAGATAGAAAATAAGGCTTGCCCCCCCCTCCTTTTCCCTCTGCCTCATGACGACTGCTTGTGTTGCGATCGAAACGTCGTGAGTTTTTTTTAATTTGTATTAGTTTAGTTATTTTTATCTAAATTGTTTGCTATCTACGTGGCTTTACCGAAAGAACCAAAGAATATGAATTTCCACCAAGTTTTTAATTTATATAAATGCGAGTCAGGCTGCGTGTGATGGGTAACAGTATGGGTACTCTGAACTCTTCCAAGACGTCTGACCAGCATGGAAGAGTAGGCCAAGGCCCTCTGAGTAGGACCGTCTCGAGCTCCCGCTCGTTTTGGAGTACATCCACCTGTTGTTATTATTAATACATGTTATCATCGCTACTTATTGCACGATAAATGAGGCTCTATTCCAGTGACTGTGGTTGAAAACACGTGCATCATTTATTACTAATGCTGATTTTTACGTGTTTTATCATTTGAAATGGGAAGTGCATATTTAATGCATGTGTATTTCACAGCGCACTCTAAAGCACTCCGTCGTCGTAAGAAGCCATTTCTGTGGGGAAAGAGTTTCTATTCATGTCGCGTGGAAGCAATGACTTCCATTCCGACACAACACCTGGCCCTTATGAATAAAACATTGAAAGCTCCAGCGAGCTCCGACATGAAACACGGGCAGCCGCACGAGTCATCGCAGCGGCGACGACTACATCGGCGTCTTAAATGATCAGCAGAAAACTCTTGGTCGTAAAACGACGATGAGAACAACTACAATAACAAGTCCCGTGAGCTGGTGAACGATAGAAACCCGTGCACGGCCCTGCGTGAGGCGGTTCATCGCTGAGTCTTGGTCAGCAGAGCGGATACGCCGATCCGGAGGTCGCCGGTTCGATTTTATCTCCAGGCGTGACAGTTGAAGCCACGGTGCAAGTTTATTTTACAACAAAAATCCCCCTCCTCCCCTTTCCTCTTCATCCGCTTCTGCCCGCCGAAGCTTTTTTTTTCAATGGGCACAGCGCAGTTCATCGATCGGCAGGTCGCGTGTAGTGACGTGTGGAATTGTGGGCACTGTCACCCAAGACGTCTGGCGTGGAAGAGTAGGCCAAAACACCATCAGCAAGGGGCTCGCCAAAGCTCGCCCGAGTGACGACCCTTCCGTCAGCAGTGGCATGTCCAAGAAATTGCAGGGCTGCACCTGTTCCACATTTGTCAACATCTCTCAGCCAGAGCTGATTCACGCCCAGTACCCACGGATCGCTTTGTACACACGCACTCAATGCACTGCCTGTGATACTGACTGACCAGTGCACTGTCCCTACCACTACGTCCGCGTGGAAGCCCGCTCCGCTGTGTGGGGTTGTGACCGTCGGTACGGGACTGTCCAGCGATACCATCTTCCAAGTGGGCATCACCACCTAAGATAAGGGAGTTAGCCCAGGACTGGTTTTGATCACCTTATGCAATTCTGTTTTCGGTCTTTGGCTGCCGTGAGCCAGAAGGACGTTGCGTAATGCCGCACTCATGCGCCTTTTTTTCTTCAGAGGGGATTTTCTTTGTAATGTGAGCAGTGTGGATTGTTTTGCCAAGCTAATCTTTCACATTCCTTCTCGCCTATCTAAAACTGTAGTCAAATAATGTAACTTGTTGGAGAAAAACTATGTTCCATATTTTACGTTCAAATATTACATTGAAAACAACCTTACGTGAACAAAATGTTAAACCTTTAGGAAGTTTTATAATTTAAAACAAATAACGAGCCAATCAATTTGTTAAATAAACTAACTGAAGACTTTTTTTACACAATATCACTATCTTTTGCAAACTTTGCCAATAATTGAATTCGGTTATGTGTACAGTTCGTTGAAGGCCTCCCCACGCCGTGTTGGTAATGGTGGGGTTTTGATTTAAAGCTTTCGTGACTGCAGTAATTCATATTCTTAGTTTTTTCGGTAAAGTCACGTTGAAGGGAAACAACAAAATAATAAAATATATATAACGATAAAAATTATATTTTTTATTATTTTGTTGTTTCCCTTCAACGTGACTTTAACAATAAAACATTTGTTTTATAAATTTCGATTTAAAGCTTTCGTGACTGCAATGATTCATCTTCTTTGGTTCTTTCGGTAAAGTCACGTAGAATGAGAATAAAATAATAAATTGATAAAATAAAATAACAATAATATTCTCACGACGTTTCGGCCACAACACAAGCGGCCTTCATCAGGTGAAGGGAGCGAGACTGTCTGGTAGGACAGCGCTGGAGTGAGAGAGCCACGTTCAGATCACGGCTTTTAAGCTGTGTGAGAGGAACAAAGAGCCTTGACGAAGGAATTAGCATAAAATTTAGCATTGAAAAGGCTGAATGATTAGCTTGTGACTGGTCACAGAAATAGCTATGTTAAAAGTTAAAGCATACACATCCGCAGAGGCACCCATTGTTAAAAGGAATTAGCATAGAATTTAGCATTGAAATAGCTAAATTAAGGCATTCGCTTGTAACTGCTACAGAAATAGTTACGTTGAAGTCAGAGCATACACATTCACCGAGGCACTTAGTACAAATCAAAACAGGAGAATTTAGCATTGAAATAACTAGGCGAATTTAGCATGGAAATAACTGGGTGATTTGCTAGTGACTGGTCACAGAAATGACTACAAATCTGAGCTATTCACAGTACTATATAGTGAACCAATAAAAACTAAAATATAAATTACCTTCATGTTATCAATAAACTCTATATTCTCCAATCAGCTAAGCTACCAACCATAAGTCGTTATATAACACAATGCTATATGGCGAAAAAATGGGTGGATTCTTACCCTCAAATTTCCGTACCACGGATAGCTACGGGCCCCGTTCAGACGGACGAGTTCGTCCATGGTCGGAACAGAGGAGGGGGAGAGAGA